CTGAGCCTGGGATGGTTTGGTTGGATATCAGGGAAAGGTTCTTATCCCAGAGGGTGCTCAGGCACTGAACACACTCCCCAGGCAATGGGCACAGCCCCAAGGCTGACAGAGCTCCAGGAGTGTTTGGACAATGCTCTCAGCACACGGTGGGATTGCTGGGGTGTCCTGTGCAGGGACAAGAGCTGGACACCAATTATCCTTGTAGGTCCCTTCCAACTCCATATTCCATGATCCCGTGAGTAACAGCCAGATCACTCCCACAGGGAGCCTGCACAAATCTTTTCTATTAAAGCATCCAAAGAACTTCTGACCAAATGGGCACTGTTTACAAGAAATGACCACCCTTCCCATTCTCTTCACTCTTTCCTATCCTGTTCTCAATTCCCATCCCACCACTAACTGTGGTGGGAGGTTTTGGACCCAAACCCAGTTTATTTCTGCAGAGTTAATGGACGATCAGCTGCTGCTGCTGCTGGAATCCTTGGAAAGGAAGATTGTGTCCCAACAGCTGAGGCTGGTGAGAACACAAATCACATTTCGCTCCTTTCAAGGGGGCACGGACTATTTTAATTCGAACAACATCTCCATAGTGATATCACAAGTTGACAACTGATTGAAATTCTGATTTTGCTTTTTCTATTGTTTAAAGGTTGAAAACCTCCTGAATCATGACCTGGATAAGGGGAAGGAGACTTTCCATTTTGATGCTGAGCTGCTTTCCTTCCCACACGAGGAGGAACAGAGGTTAACCACGGAACTGGTGGAGCTGAGTGGAGTGCAGCTCCAGGAAGATGGATCAGCTCTCCTGAGGGATCAACCCTTTGAGCCCATGGCAGCCTTGTTTGTGGCTCTGTACGCCCTCAACCTCCTGAGTGGCTCTGAGTAGGAGGTACCTGGCCCTGCCCAGGGAACTTCTCTACAATGTCTTGGGAAATCTCTGCTCTCAAGCCAGCTTTCTGTCCCAGTATCATCCTTGTTAATGCTCAAGGCTGCTTTGGCTGGCAAAAGCAAATTTAAGGCTGGAAAACTCATTATGGACATTAAAGGTTGGATGTTGAAGTGGATTTCTTTCACTGACACCTCCATGGTCCCAACACTGCCATCATCCCTGAGATCCTCAAGGGACACAGGCAGCACTTTAGAGAAGCCATACTTTCATTACCACTTTATAAAGAGGACCTTCTTTCTAGGCAACTGGGTGTTCTCAAAGTCAATTTCTTAATTTTGTATGTTTTGGTCCCACAGCACATCTGACAAGCTCGGGATGCTGTATGAGAAATACAGGCACTTAGCCCTGGGGGGAAGTCGGGAGTCCCTCAGGCTGTGGGGCCCTGGGAGGGTCCCTGGAGGACAGGGGTGCCTGCAGCAAGGGGCAGCACTGCTCACCTGTGTGGCCACTGACGACTCTGGATCTCCAGCACCAGGTGCCAGGCTCTGCCTTGCAACAGCAACGAGGGCAGCCCGGCCCCAACCTGGAACCATCGTAGCATTGGCACCAGACCAGACCCCTCACAGAACCCCCAGCTTCAACCTGGCCCCCCCATAAGACTCCCCCGGCCCACATCCTCACTGGACCACTCACGGGATTCCCGAGGCCAGCCCAGCCCTCACAGGGGATCCCCAAGCCCACAAGGGACACTTCACGGGATCCCCGGTCCAGTGCAGCCCCTCAAGGGACCCTTCACGGGATCCCTCACAGAATCCACGATCCCAGCCCAGCCCTTCACGGCATCCCCGACCTGGCCCTAGCGCGGCCCCTCATGGGACCCCTCACGGGTCCCCTCACAGAATCCTCGGTCACAGCGCGGCCCCTCACGGGACCCTTCACGGGATCCCCCACCACAGCCAAGCCCCTCACGAGCCCTCGCGCTGCGCCTCAGAGAAGACTCGTCCTCGCCCGCGGCCCCAAAAGGC